CTTTTGCTTCATTAGAAAAAAAGTATCAATGAAAAACGTAGAAGAAACGTGACATTTAAGATCATGCGATTTTGGATGTAAACAGAAACCATGCAACTATAAATGTACAGACAAGCAATTGTCACGCAACAACAATTAACCTTTAATATTTTATTCAGATTTTAATTTGATGGCTATGAAGATCTTTTTCGCAGTAACACTAATTTGTACTTGATCATTTTGCAGGTGTAATATTGTTTTGACTTTTTACTTCAGAGGGCGAGGAGGAAGGTCAAAAGATTAGAAATGAGAAGCCATACAAAATGTGTGAATGATTGAACAATAGGTTGTAAAATCAAACTAGTAAACCAATCAATGGAGTTGTTGGTATGGTTTAGGATGGTTGGGAAATCAGTGCCGAGACACAATGTCTGCCTCTGGTAACAACAGGTCTCCATGCTAATAGAGACCCCATGTACATGCCCCCCCCCCCCCAATTTTTAGTTTTAGTTTTAAAATTCAAACAGGGGTGCCTTGTACAGAGACCCTTTATTTCCTGCTCCGGTATTTCCAGCGAACCCTGCTTCAAAGTCAGATGTGAGACCACCAATCATATATCTTCCAGATCAGTACAGACCCCCCCTCCCCCATTGATTAATTTGAGAGGTAAGGGAGGAGGAATGGGAGATGATACCGTTCTGTTGAAGTTTACAAACTTTTAAAGTTGATATTAATAATAGTGGGTTCTTGCATAGCTCTCATGTCTGTTCCACGTGATCCCTGGCACTCCACAATGACATGTTACATGTCCTTGAAAAAAAAATGTTTTTCATGTACCGTATCAAATATTTTAAATCTGTTTGTTTTCACTGCCTGTTTGTCATGGAACTTTCCCTCTTATTTTGTCATGGAAATAAACATCCCCATGATAATAGAAGCCATACATTAGAGGTGAAAAGGGTAAGCAGAAATTGTTTACAAATATTCCAAATAAACTTTTCTGTTACCACGCTCTCGCCTTACTTTGCTAATTGATGGCATATGCAGGCATTATGTAAGCCTGTGACAGTTTCAAATCGTATGATTGGTTGACTCCATTTAGGCCACACCCATAACCGGAAGCTGACACTTACAACATTGTATACATGTACACATACATGTAGTATGTATATTGACTTGATGCTGTGGATGACTATTATGAAAAAAATTATTATGTTTGCATTGCTATCTTTACTTTTTACATGTATGTACAATATTAGGAAAGACATGTTAGTGAAACATGAAGTTTGTGTGCCTCCACCCCCCCCCCTCACCACACACAAAAAAAAAGGGGGGGGGGAGGGGTATTGGAAACAACATTTATTTGACTTTTCTGTAGTATTGCTTTAAAACTAATATTCAGACACACTAATGTATGCAAACATAAAGTCTCTGACACTGACACATAAAATGTCAGAAAATATTGTAATCATATCGTTGTTAGGAGAATACAGTGTAGGCTATTTTCGTAATCATGTAACCAAATTTAGTGCATACGTCTTTGCGAAGTGCCTTGATTCAAACTATTTCATTCATCTGATAACAATAGTAGTATTTAAATAGACAGAATCCAACTGCATACATTAGTTGTTGCCAGGTTGGACAAACTTATGGATTGTCCTACCTAGCAACACTTAATATATGCAGTTTGCATTCTGAAATATTATCATTCTTTTTAGGTGAATGAAATAATTTGTATTGAGGCACTTCACAGAGATTTATGTGTTACATTTGGTTAAATTACAAAAATGGCCTATTTAAGTGAAACCTACTTTTGTGGCCACCTGTGATTGGAGTAGACTGCTTGTTTTATTATTCCTTGAATGATCTTCATACATATGGTTTGACAAAATGAGAAAACTGTCCACCAAGAAACAAACCCCTCTCACATACATATATGTACCTGAATCACTACCAATTATCAACTCGTGAAGGGAGAAAACAACAAAGTAATGAAAGAAGTAGTAAGCGAGAAGGTTAAAAAAAGATCTGGAGAAAAAATGAATGCAAAACATTAAGAACATCACTGCCAGAAAAGACTGTGAGGCTAGATCATGGTCTATACATTTACATGCCATGCGAAATGCAGTGGGGGGGGGGGGGGGGGGGGGGGGGGGGGGGGAGGGGGTTTCACTGTGGGAGACTAAACCAATAGACCATTTAAAGGTAAAGACCAGTATTGGAAACGCCCCAATTTCAAAAAATGAAATGGAAGCTCTTATTACCAATCATGTGAAAGAATGTGTTTTGACTAATACATGATGATAACATTTTTGCCGGAAAACCGCCTACTAATTGATATATTTGGTAAATTAGTTTATCTACATGGTCTGTGAGAGATAAACGCACGTGTCGCGCATGTGTGCGTATAGTCCCATTACATCTTTCTGTGTACAGTGTTTGTAACTTTACGAAGACTGGGCCAACTTTCTTATCATTTTGATGATTCCTTACAATATATGATCAACCTTTTCTGATCGATTCCACGTTTCTTTCATAATGCAATCGCATGACTTTAACTGGTCTTTTACCTTTAACACTGGATTAGTGTGCTCTAATACAGAAGCCTTGGCCCAAACTCACTTTAAACAATGACAATTTAGTTGTGTCATCATTGCTACATCTATATATAGTGCTCTTTTTCTGTTAACAGCTTCCTTATGAGTTTCTGGTATAAAATTGGTTATAAACCACACCCAGGCCTTACTTTATTCATTTCCTTCTGGTTATTGTTCTATTTTTGTGGCTTTAAAAAATCACACTTCTATCCCATGATCTCTCATGAAAAGTTTCTGCATGGAAGCATACACAGTTTGAGTCTATATTTAAGCTACGATAGATTGCTTACAAAAATGATGCATGCAAAGTCGTTAAGAAGCATAGAATAGTATGTCGGTTATTTATTCATTTTGAATGATACTCATTGTCATAGTCATAATAAGAGAAATCACAGAAGAAGCTCTCTGTTATTTCAGCTCTGTTTCTAACACCAATGGCGATAATTAGTGGATATTCACCAAGGCATGCTCCCTGCTTACTCTTCCTCAAGCTATACCATACCATAGGGTTTGCCTGATATAGCAGCGATGAAAAGGTATACAGTGTAGGATAGTAAAGAGACCTCAAACATGCCAACATACTGTACATGTAGATCCATTCTTAAGTCAATTTATCATCCTCTTTAAATAGTGCCTAGCGTCAAACTGTATATGATTACATATTTACTAGTTTTTGTTGCCAGCCCTGCATGTAAGGTAGCTTCTAAAGGCAAGCTTTCAAAAATTCAAGCATTTACTTTAAGGCATCGTTTAACAATGTTAAATCTGTCTGCGATTTGGTGTAATATTGAAGCCCTTAAAAATTGTGCTACAAAATATCATGAAGTGCCTCAAAAAGTAAATATCTTTGAGTGACCCGTTTTACCATACTCATTGTCCCCAATAGACTGTAGTGTTATGAAAACCTTTAGGAAAACTAATTCTGGCATTTCTAATTCTAATCGTAGATATCATGATAATCAGACAGGCGATTGGCTTGTAAAAGTCATGGGATTTATGTATGACTTAAAGGTTTATAATTATGATTGTAGCATGAGCTAAATCCAGGATATTGTTTCAGAATCTGAGGCAAAGTTACCCAATCCCTATGATAGTATTCATAGTATGCATCAAGTTTCAAGTTGATGCTCGTGTACTGCTTTATTGAGTCTTCTTTTTATGCATATGTACATGTAGTAAAAATTAACAGAAAAAGTCATGGAATAATGCCCCAACTATCCCATCTGTCTATTGCCATTGTTTGTATTTCAGTAAATTCAGTGTCGGTCATGAGGCGTTGAGAAGTTGAACAGTTTATCTTCTTCGTCTAGGTCTTTGAATTAGGACAGCTTGGTTTTGAGTCCCATAGATGAAGTATCGAAAACCCTGGGATAGTTTACTCAATGAATTATGATAGTCCGTAAATAGACAAAGCCTCGCCAGCCAAGCAGGCAGGCAGCACAGCCCTGGGCTTCGTTTCAGATTCACTCCCATCTATTAATATCCAAAATGCTGCTAATTTTAGCAGCATGCAGGAAGTCCAAACGAGGAAGTTGAACTCCTGATTTGGATTTGGTTTACTGAAGCCTTATCTGTTGTGGCATCAAAATGATTGCGAGAGTACACCGTTACTGTGCAAAATAAAGAGAGGCCCGGTTATGGCATTAGAATCTGAACCAATTAATAAATATTAGTATATACCAATTAATTATAAACTAGATACGTTTCTTTCTTGAATGGAGATTTGAAACAAGCAAAGCTTGGCATTGCTTTGTGGATTGAAAGGAAAGAATGATGAGATTTCTGTAGGAAAGCAATTTGGCTTCATGTAGATTTGCACCCTCACCCTGTCTTTCATGAAATATTTTAACTTTAATCAGTCATTTCATAATATCATTAATATAAAGATCAAAAGACATCCATCAGGCTTAAAATGAATGACTTTTAAAAGCAGTTAGCATGCTTTTGTTAGTTCATGTTCAATTACTCTCCTATCTAGTAAAACCTTTTATTGCTGAGAAATATTCAGACAGTACTTCAGACCAATTGATGTAGCATTAGGCTAGTAAACTTAATTCTTAGTTATTCATGTATATTGTGGATCCTCATCTTTAAAAAAAAACAGAGAGACAAGAAACTAAATGCATGATTCAATTTTACTAAGCTGTATCTACATGTCCGCTCACTTTCTGACATATTATATGTAATAATACATGTATGCTATATTCATTATGTGAAAAACTTTGAACAACAAATAGATCTAGGTTTTACTTCATCAATATTTTGTTTGAATTGACAGTAGAATTACAATGAACCTTTTGTTCATCTACCTACTTTAAGTTCTAACTTCTTTGCTGTGTAATAGGCCTACATGATAGCTGAAAGTTTATCTACAAAAAATGTGTTAACTATTTTGTTCTCCTCTCTTTTGTACCTTTGTTTTAGGAATTCTGGGACCACACAAAACATTTATGGATAGATGCTGGAGTTCAAGGCTGCTACGACAGGTCGCACGAATATCAACTTATAGATAGCGCACAATAGTAAGTCCTTACCACTTTTTACTTTTCACCCAAACCATTGCTTTCAGTGTGTTATCATTTTCCAGAATGATGGATGAAATCAAATGCCATCAAATGCATTCACAAATCACTGGTGTCTTTAATCTACTAGATCAGCATTTTTCAACTATTTTTTTTTCAGTCACTGCACCCTTTTACGAGTTAAAAATTCACATCATCCTAATCAAAAATTCATTAAAGAGGATTTCTTTTCCACCCCTCATACAATATACCTTTTTAGTTTTATTTCATCTCTTCCCCTGTGACTATGCCAATGCATTTAAATGCATTGCATGCCATTAATTTGTAGATGTGGAAATTAATGTGTTTGAAAGAGAGAAAGAAAGAGAGAATGAAGTGTTTTTAATAAGTTTGTGCAGTTTTACATTGTAGTATCATTTTCACCTTTAACTCAAATAGGGTTTAATAGAAAGGAGTAGGCTTCTCTGATGCACAAATTAGAACAAGTTCATGTTTGTAGTGGTTGAAGGTAGACCAGGAAGAGGAGAAAGAGGAAGATGATGAGAAGGATGAGGATGAATGGTTGAAAAGATTTCATGATGCGCTAGCAAAACAGGACAGTACCCGGCTCTACTGCCAACACGTTTCGGGCGCTGGATGCAGAGAGTGTGGTGTGAAGATATAGGAACTAAGAAACGACAGGTTTACATGTACAAACAAAGCATCCAGGTGTGGCATCAGGACTATTCTAGTTGATAGTTTGATTAGTAAATATACAATTATTTGGCTTTGTGCTTATCATATACAGTATGCGTTATATTTGCATTTATGACAGATGCACTCCAGTTTGTAATTTGCCAGCGCAGCTAGTGCGATGTCGGAACATACTGTGCAAACAGTTTTTTTTTTGTCTCAGGGTTTCAGTTGTATGTACATGTACTGAATTTGGGTCATTCATGATGAAACCAAAGTAGGCTAAAGATCACCTGTAATCTGAAAGATTGATTGGCTAGCTAATGAGTAGTACCAAATACATGTATGGTTGCTGGAAAGAGCAGAAAACCCACACCAAATTGTAGCAGTTGTATTGTCTCAGGGTTCCATATTGTAACATTTATGTGAGAGAAGTAATGTCCTCTTCTGGGCAAGCATTTTATCTTTCATAGGCTTTCTTGGTGACTTGCATAAACTTTTTAAAATAGATTTATATCTGATTGATTCTCTTTAATTCTCTATATTGCAAACAATTTACTACAGGTGCAGCGTGAGTTTTTTTTGTTCTAATCTTTTAAAATTCATTGTTGAGAGGACAATTCCGACTCTTTTTTTCGGGTTGTGAGCTGCCTCAGATAAAGTAAATTAAGAACCAATGGATTATAATTAAAATCTAAGCCAATTGCCCCCATATTATAATGATTAATATCAATATTCTTTAATGATTTAAGACGTCATTCTGTCATTCCATGGAATCCATGACATCACAAAAAAGGTGATCCATTGCCCTTCTCAATTTTCCTCAAACGTTAAAGCGGTAACTTGTATTTACGTAATTTGAGTCTTTTCTTTGAAGATAGCCCCTTTCTTATTTTGTTACCCATACATTCATGACAAACTGCAAAGGTAATCCCAATGGGATTCTGTTAATTGGAGTTATGAAAATAAGTACACTTTGCATGAATACATTTATCAAGCTCTCCCCTGGGAATCCCTAATACATTGTCTGTTATATTTGGCTCTACTAGTTAGCAAGGAGGCTGATGATGTTTCTAAATTTGGGTCGCATCGTATTATCCTCCCTCACGGCAGTATTATCCCTTTAGCAGGGCCCTTGTACTATATTAAGAACAGAAAAGTTATTTTTGTCAAGCCTGTGTCGTCCAGAGCATCATTTTTTCTGCGGGTGATATCATTTATTGGCAAGAAGAGATCAAATTTGTGTAGGGATCTTCATGTAGTCTACTTTTGTCTTGTTTTGAAGAATATGTAGCCAATTTTATAACATTAGGATGTACTTTGAGCCAGGATCTATAATTTCTCTAAATTCTATTAATGGTACCATTTTACTTCTTTAAATGACTTCTGGGATTGGCTTCAGAATACATTGTAAATCTACTCTAGCATTAGGAAAAGCATTGGAAAGTTCAAGGAGATTGATTATCATTGACAAAAAGTGTGTCAAGGATATTGCCTTCTTGTGTTTGAAAAATATTAAATTGGGAAAATCATTATAGACAGCAATACGACATACAGGTATAATATCCAATTTAAAAAAAATCACCCTAATAATCAATATCTGCCTTGGGTATTTTTAAATTGGTCAATTACAGGGTGACCAATTGTTGGATCATTGATTTTATTTTGATGCATTGTAGAACATTCCCATGTTATTTTTTTTTAGATATATACATGTAAACCCTCAAATACTTTTTTTTCATCCCAATTTCGAAAATCAACCTTCCGATTGAGAAAAAAAAGAGATTCTGAGAGGACAGTAAATAAGTATGTTTGAGATGATCATTGAATAGTGAGGAAGTGCTCTGAGATGGATATTGTATTTTGGAATGCATCTATTGTCTTTTGGTGATTGGGAAGGTTCAGTTCCATGGAATCGGTTATAAATCTAGAATATCTTCAATCTTGTCAATCACTTGCGATTTCAGGCCATGAGTCTGTTTCTCATCACCCAAGCATACTCTAATAATGAGCCTACCCATGCCTTCTCTTCTTTCATTCTCTCTTCCCCACTTTCTTCATTCTCTCTACCATTTACATCTTTCTGCAATGTCCAAATTGAGTCCGTTTCATATCACCCAAGCATACTGTATGGATGATGAGTGAACCCATGCTATCCCTCCCTCTCTCCTTTCCTTCTCTTTTTTGTCCATCATTCACATCTTCTGCGATGTCCAGACTGAGTCTGTGTCTTATCACCCAAGCATACTTGACGAGCCAACCCATGCTTTCCCTCTCTCCTTTCCTTCTCTCTGCCCCACTTTCTTCGTTCTGTCCATCTTTCTCTACCGGACATCATCAGGGGATGAGATAAAAACCTATCCCTCCCCTTCCACTCTTAGTCTTCCATCTTGTGTCATCCCGGCAAACTAGCGGGGAGAAAGGTCGGCGCTGCCTCACATTGTGCGCCTGCATCATATCTTCTAATTTCATCTGGTTCTATTAGCGCATGCATATCTCTGTGTGTCTAATTTTAGCAAGGGGGCCATGAGGGAGATGGTGAGATAAGAAGTGTGTGTGGATGAATGTGCATTGTTGTATGTATGTACGTGCTCTGACAAGATAGCATCTTTGGATGTTGGCGTGCCTTGATGAGCAGTCAAGTATGTCTTCGTTTGTCAGCTACTCTATGAAAGATTTGTCGACTGTTAACCCTTCTCTTACCACAAGCCCAAATGAAATTGACTTCATACACGCTTTCCACAATGTACATAGCACCAATACGGACTAAAGCTAATGTTTGATTCTGGTTTGGAATTACATAACAACACATGTACATATCAAGAGAAACTGGTTGAAGTGATTAATTATGCCTGTATCATGGATTGGTAACTTGGACCAGTAAAATATTCAAATTCAGATGAATCAAAATTTAATTCAATTTACCTGCACTCTAAAGCAAGATGAAATAGCATAAATGAGACCGTGTGTCATGAACATGGTGAGGTCGGCTAGTTTTAATTTTCTTACTTTTCTTTGCTCATCATTTCACAGCTACATGTATGGGCATAAAACATTGTCTACCATCATTGTTTAGTAGATATAAGTCATTTGTAGTGTTGAACATTCAGGATTCTGTGAGATATAAATTCTTTGTAATGCCAGATCACAGATTACCATTAAGATATTGTTGGTATCCTAGGTCATATCTTGCCAACTGGATTTGTGTAACACTTGCCTGAACACCAATTTGATTTCCTTTAATTTTAGATGAGATGCAGTGAGATGCAGTAAAAAAATAAATGCTTGATATACATGTAGGCACACAATGAATTAGTACACTCCTGTATGTGCATTAAAAAAAAAATGAATCACCACCACAGACAGTTAATTGCTTTCTAGGACAAAATTGGGAGGGGGGGCATGAGATAGTATTGAATAAGATGTAAAAGTAGAAAAAAAATAATTATGTATTGAGAAGAAGAATTTGTAGCGAGACAGTTTGGAGTTAATGAATAAAAGTTGGACCCCCACCAAAATAAATTTAAAAAATACAAAAAGAGAAAAGGGGGAAAAAGGGCAATTTTTTAAACAATGTTGTAGAATTATTTTCATAAGCCTCTGAAGTATCCTGAATGATAATGTTCCCAAAATCTCATTTTCCTCTCCCTCTTAATTTCAAATTTGAAATCGGTTGATTAATATCTTTTGATATTTTTGAAATAATTTGTTGTTAAAGCTTCCTACAATGTACTGTATACTTATACATGTAAATGAAGGAGGCTGTTTGTGTGACATTCTAAAGCAAATTTCTCTATACAATCTACTAATGATTTGAAAATTGGGTTTTAATTCTGAAAAGGTGACTTTTGGTAATTTGGTGACTGCATTTGCAGATTTTCATATTTTTTGAAATACACTCCAAACATATTTCAGTTGATGACTTGTGACATGTAGGCCTATTATCTATGTCGTCTCCAAACCCAGACAATAAGTAAGTTACTCTCTGTAGCAACACTTACCCTTGCCCAACCCTTCGCCCCTCACCCCACCCCTTGCCCCTCACCCCACCCCTCCCCCTCGCCCACCCCTCCCCCTCCCCCCACCCCTCCGCCCTCACCCCTCCCCCTCACCCCTCCCCCCTCACCCCTCCCCCCTCACCCCACCACTCCCTTCTTACACCACCGTCCCCCTTACACCACCCTTCCCCTTACACCACCGTCCCCCCTTACACCACCCTTCCCCCACACCCAACCCCTATTATAGCATGAGCAAGTGATCAATACTCCCGTTCTAAAAATAGCAATGCAATTTCCTGAAATAGCGAGATAGGTATTCATTATGCCAAT